TAACAAAGGATTTGAAGTAGAGTAGATTTAAATGAAGAAAGCTAGAGGAGACAAAATAGCTAAAGGTACTGCATGAGACTTGTAGTTACCAAAGAACATCAGGCGAAGGGCGCGTTTTTGATGAATAATAATTTTGTTTTTGTAAGTTTTAGCGCCTTGGCCCCAAGCGACTATGCCATACAATAAGTAGGGCTGGTTAACAGATGTGTATGTCTGATGTAAAGTATTCAGTGGTACAAAATGTCTAAGGCTGGCAATAATGCCATTTGTTTTACTTATTTTTGAAGCGATGTGGGCGATATGGTATTTCCAAGAAACATTTTCATCAATAGGCACACCTAGATATTTGACACAGTTTTTGCATTCTTAAGAATTGTACAAGTTGTTATGATGGTCAGATACTTTCGAGTTGGCTTGGTGATTTAACTTTTTTTGTCTTGGTCTAAGAATAACAAATTTAGGTTTCTTTATAGAGTCGAACCACCCTTAAAGCGACCATCCAAAATTAACACATTCACACAAACTTAACTTTTATTATAAAATCAAAACGAATTATAGCCCTTCTGTCTACCTAGATCTAACAAGAAAGAACCCTTCTAGGAAAACATTAGTGAAACTGAGAATAAGCAGTCACAAACTTAGGATTGAGACAGGTAGATACGACAATATACCACGTGACGAAAAGCTACGAAAGGTTATGCAATCTCTGCAATTGTAACAGAATTGAAGATGAAACTTACTTTTTATTAGATTGTCCAAGTTTTTCCTCGATAAGAGATATGTTCTTCTCTAAACTAGAACCTAAAATACCGTTTCTACGACTACAATCACATGAGTCCTTATTATCACATCTGATTAATTCTGCTGACTGTTTTATTAACATCCAATTAATTTCATCTATATCAACTTGCTTTGAATTGAGAGACAAACTTATCTCCGGAATAATTAATCCTACTGATGGTTAGAAATAAACAATGATTAATAAGTTTCAAATTATTTTAAACATTTAATTTACAAGGAATCAATGATTAATTTCAAGTAGCTTTTGCAATACTGTAATACTTTGTTATGGTCATGCAAATAAAGCTTATTGTTGTCGTTGTTGTTGTTGTTGTTGTTGTTGTTGTTGTTGTTGTTGTTGTTGAGTGGTCGCTTAAGGGAGGTGGTCGTTTACAAGAATCGCATCACAGAGTCTCTTCCGAGAAGACGTACAGGCACATTTTCTTTATAGAAGATAATTCATTGTCATTCATGTCTAAGTTAGGATATGTGTACTTCCACGTTGCCAATAACACTGTGTGAAATGAGTTGTGTCATGGTCCCGATATTAGTCGATACGAACCCGTATTCTTGAGAAAAACGGAAGTATGGAATGGTGTCGGGTTCCGTACACGCAGCGTATACATTGAGTATCAGGACCCGTATTTTTCCTGAATCGAACTTTTTCCGCGGCATTGAATATCCGAAATCCGGATACGTCATTGAAACGCGGCGTGTCAAGACCTGTAAACGTCCTTATTTTTCTAGATTTGCCGAGAATCAGGGAGTGCCGTTGATGAACGCTACGAGTTTTGCCTTTCATTTTCACTAAAATTCCACGCTACGGATTATGTTATCCTATTTTGAACAGTTTCTTAAACCATAATCCTAATTTATACTCCAAACGTTCACGACACGTGAAGATTCTATTCCGTAGAACGCGATGAAATTCCACGATACGTGAAGTTTCGAGTGTTTTCACTTCCCCGAAATTCCATGGTACGTGAAGTACCAGGGACTCAAACACCACTGGAATTCCACGGTTCATGAAATTGCCGATGTTGAAATCGTGACAAAACTCCCTGATACGCGAAAATTGCAACACGTTTATTGTACTAAATTCGACGATACTTTCAATTCCCATGCATGATATTGAAAAAAGTGATACCGCCTTTTAACTTCATTGATACCTCACGATATGTTTCCTGGTCAGCATTGCACTTCATTGCATTTCAGGGACTTATTTGTGGGGTTGCAGTATTATACTGAAATGATTTTTAACAGTTCCGACCATTCTACCATTTTTATCACCGCCCCAGTCTTATTTACTTTAACTAATTGCCCAACGCATAAGGGAAAAACACAGGTTTTAAATCGCGTAACATCATTTATTTTAAAGTTCAAATACAGGAACAAAGTTTGATAATTCTGACAGGAAAACGTGCAAAGTTGTGTCAGTTGATAAACCTAACTCTAAAAAGTGTTCGGACATGTTGACAATTCTTTCAAAGAAATATACAAGGTACAGTTGCAAGGTTGATTGGAATATTCCAGAAACTTATAAGGAATGAGTGATTTCAAAACATTTCAATTTTTTCTAAAAAAAAAGTTTTGCAAAAATTAAAACAGAATTCAAAGTGAAGATATCAAATTTAATCAAACAATGGCAACAACTAGAGAGTAATCCATCCATTCGATTCTCCATCCTATGTTCATCATCACTGCCACTCCTTAAAGTAAAGGAGAATGTGGGGAGGGAGGATGCAGTGGAGGAGGATGTACTAAAAACAACAAAGAAAACAGATCCTGCTACAAGAGTGGCAACCTTACAGTTACTCAACTTTCATATCTCGCGTAAAGAATGAGAATGAGCGTAAAGTTGTTGCAAGCTTATGTTACCCTCATTCAACCTTTAAGCCAAGTACGTAAATCTTTACCAACCTCGGCGTACCTTGGAAAGTTTGCGTAAAGGAGTTAGTTGTGTTTTTATTAGGTAAAGTTTAATTTTTCCTAAATTTCAGTTTTCATGACATTTTACCTCACTGTCGAAAGTCGACATAGCTTTGGCTAACTGATATCGTTAAGAATCAGAGCTCGTATATTTCTTGACACACCGCAGAAGACGTGTCCGGGCCACGATTTGTCCTGATTTTTCACGACAGAGGTACCGGGGACACGGACACTCTCGAGCTCTGAAACGCCGCGTTTCATGACACCTCTCGTGTCGGTATACGATTTGTTAAGTGCCATGGGAGTATCGTGGCCCTGTAAATTCCACTAAATTACTTATTTCACGCAGTGTAAAGGTTTTCGTATATTCTAAGTAACATAGCGCACACACCGAAAATAGAGATCAGAGAATGCGACAAGTGGTCGCTTACAAGAGGTTAAAAACAATGGAAAGTCATTAAACGTCAGGCCCAAATAGTGGTCGCGGTCGCTTACAGCAGGTGGTCCGTTGCGATAGGTTCCAACTTTAAGGCTTTGACTGGGAAAATTTTGGTGTTTTGGATTGGCGGTCGCTTATCGGAGGCGGTCGCTTACGAGATGTGGTCGCACATGGAGGTTCGACTGTATTTGGTGATATAATTTATTTCCGATTAGCCAATTACAAACCCTGTCACAAGAATATCACGATACACCACAAAGTCTTCGTTCATCATCCAAATCAAGTTTTACTGACCCTACTGTGAAATCTGTGACATACGGTGAACGTGCTTTTTCCTTCTGTCACTTACATTATGGAATACTTTTCTCGATTCTCTTAAAAGTGCTGACTCTCTTCCGTCCTTTAAATCTGTCCTAAAAAACGTTATTTTTGAGTATGAGAACATTTCATTGGTTTTATTTATTCATTTATCTATTTACTATTTTTATTTTATATATATATATGTATCAATTTATTTTTGTTATCAGAAATATTATACAGGTTTTTATTTAATTATTTTTCAATTAGTTATTATACGACTGTTATCACCTTAATCATTTTTATTCATCAATGACATGTAAGCGCATTGAGACTTCTAAGTGTGCTGATAAAAACTCTGCTATTATTATTTTAAGGCTAATAATGGATATAATCATAACTATAACAAAATTGTCAAATCTGATTGGCTTTCAACTGCCCTCATTTCAGCCTTAATTGGACAGTTTAATAGGACAGTACGCGTCATGCTTAAGTAATTGAACAGTACTCGCCATCACGCGCGCGCTTAAATGGCTTTTTTTTTTTTACTGTTAGAAAAACAAAGTTTCGAATTTCTTGTGTTTTGATTTTAAAAATAGCCTATTATATCACAAATTTTGTTAAAGTTATGATTAATTGGTAACAGAACTTCGTGTCGTCCAATTCGGTCTTTAATCATACTCGTGATTAAACAAATCGGACTCCCGCTACGCAGTCGTCCGATTTTGTTAATCACTCGTATGATTACAGACCGAATTGGACTCTACTCAGTCCTTTTACCATTACTAATAGGCTGATTTAGCAACAGGACGGGAACGTCAGTTGACGACGGGAAAGCCCGTGGAAAGGACTAAACACGACTTCCGGTGCCCAATTTGCCGCTCTGCCATTGGTCAAGCCAGTTGTTTAATTTGCGAGAGCCGTCTTCAACTGACGTTCCCATTCTAGCATGGGTTTTACAATGGATCATGAATATGAATTAAATTTCGGACCATTCGGGAGTTAATTATTTTTTCATCACTTTAACCCAGTGCTACGCAGCAGAACATGCAGTATGAAATGAATATTCCTTCACAAAGTACTCTGTTGGGCAGCCTATACCCATGATGTTAACTCCACGCTTATTTTTGGGCTGTCCAGCAAGTGAATTATAGTGGAACGCGCTCTATGGACATCTGTTTAATACGGACAGTCTCGTCTATCCAGACCTTATATGTTTTCTTTAAATTCTTTAAAATTAACCCAGGCTAATAAGTACAATGCATGACACTCTCATATCCTCAGCCCCGCCCCGCTTTACGAGCACTAGTTATCAATGCAGCTTCTATGGCTAAATAATTTATCTTACTAACGAAAACCCAATAAAATTCAATATAGGTTCCTGGTCAAAAATGAATAAAATCTTAATCATTATTTAGTCACCATTCTTTAATTCCGCTGCTTTCTCAGAAAGTTATACTAAAAATCATAACCTACTTAAAATACCTAACCTAAATTGGTTAGTTTCTCACTACTTGGTTTTTTCAACAGGCAACAAGAGGTAGACAAGTATAATTGTAAGGACTATCAAGGAAACTACGTACAAGTGAATTCAAGCCTTTTGGACGAGTCAATTCAGAATCTCTACAATTTTAACTTGAACCCGCTTTGTTTATGGGTCAACAGGACTGGATTAGTGAAAGCAGACGAATGTTCGGATGAAAAATATTTCTTCTGCGAATTCGAAAGACGTGAGTATACAAAACAAAAGCGTTTTAAAGACGACAAATTATCATTATAATAATCATTATCTGACTCCGTAAATCACACCCTATTTCAAGGTCCTTGTATTTCAGTTCGCGCCCAAGCTGCAAAGGTTATTCTGTTTGTTGTTCTCATGAACAAGCGTCCTACTTTCGCAAGAACCAGGGGCGTAGCCAGCCCATAGACCTGGAGGACCAGGGCTACAGATTTTTGGTTTGATCACTCTACCGCTTGTAGTAGATCATCCGTTGTTGGGGTGAGCTAAAAATTAAGAGGTCAAAGTGCTGGTGAGGTCGCACTAGTCGTGGGTGCAATTTTCAGGATATGTGGAAATAAGAGTCAGCCACGGAAGGCCTACAAATATTAGAAAAGCTTGCTACGCCCTTGAGAACGTGAAATGTTTCGCCGCCAAACATTCGAAGTTTGGCATCCTTAAAGAGCTAATAAAAGCAAACTGCCACGCCAATTGAAATGTGTTTTATCATCGAGTTCCACTTATGACCATTTCGGAATAACATTTTTTTGGAATGGATTTTATTATTGCAGTCAAAATCGACTTTCAGATCACGCAAAAGTTCATTGAAATTTTCTATCGGGCAAAGTGTTTTACTTTAAAAATTTCCAGCGGGAGGGCACCTTTTGGTTAGACTGAATTTTTTACAGGCTTACAACGTGATTGATTCATAGTTCTATTAACTGATTTTGATTGTGATTTTGCTTGTTTTTCCTTAGCGCCAGATACACTTAATTCTTCGAAATTCCTTGCCAATGATTCTTGCTATAATTTTGAAACGTCTTCTCATGAATGTGAAGTTCTTGATCGAAGGCTTGCGAGAATCAACGACCTTAAGAGCCTTAAAGAAGTGGGAACTGCCCTCCAGGAACACTTTGAATACTGGACTTCTTTACGGTAACGTATTCGATTAGGTAAACTTTTGTTTCCATAGTTCAATGACCGCCCAAGACTTTCACAAAGCCCATTTCCGGTTTCCGTTGGTTAGGTGGTCAGTCGGTCAGTCTACTTACGTCGCTCTCATTCTCTCGTTTCGAGAGCGTTCCTCGGCCTTCGGCGCTCACGCAGTCGACATGCGGCAAGTCTTTGGCCAACCGTGGATACCTTAAGATGCAAGTCTACATAAAGAAATTCCATATATGTCGAGTGAGCATTGACACGGACTATATTGATTAAGAACTGAATATCGTGATTAGGGTTCAGCACTGACCATAATTATTTTTAAGCCCCGAGAATAGTGATTAGAGTTAAGTACTGAATTAGAGTTTCACGCAGTCGACTGGTGACAACGTCTAGTACTGACTAGAAACGGTTAACTTCTATTCAAGGTAGGTTAGGATTATTGGTGTATAAAGCGAAATCACTCCCTCTCACAGAGGCGAATCCTTAGTGTTGAGTATAGGTAGTGGTAGCAGACACTACTCTCCGTTTTCGAATCGCACTCAGTCGACATACTGCTCTGATTTTTTTCCCCTTCAAAACTGAATTGAAGAGACTAACACTTCCATGAACGTTTATTGAGCAGAAATAGATCTTATTCACGATACCAGCCATCTTCGCACGCGTTTAAGGAATGATTGGGTAAAGCAATGTCACCTGGTTGCTAAGGGGGCAAACAAGTGGTATTATTATACACTCAACTCACTATTTCTTTTCTGATTGGCTGAAAGCGTACATTGAATTTTCGAAATCAGCGCCTGGGATGTCATCTAGCTGCAGACTATAAAACAATAATCATCTCAAGGACACTCAAGGTCACGGGTAATCATGTCATGTATGACGGCGGTACATGATTTCTAAGGGTACTCATGTCAGGTTCGAGCGCTTTGTATTGCTTGCCGTCAGGGAAAAAGTAAAAAAACATGACTTCCAGGTTTTCTTCGTACGTTGACCGAGCAAGACATCGAAAAAATTGTTCAAGACATTACAAGGACTCACAAAACACAAATTAAAAAGGTCGACGAAGGTAGCGAAGGAGCTGTTTGCTGATTACATGAAAGAGAAACAATTGAGAGAACCTGAGGAAAAGAGAGAGTTGGCACAAACTATGAAAACATTTTATGTCGAAGTGAGAAAGAAAAAATTCGTTCAAAGTGTAACAAAATAATATTAGATTCGTTTTTCCTGATATCCAGAATAATCAAGGCCTCAGTAAGGGTTATCAACCTCAGCTAACCTCATCCAATAATTGTTTAAAATTTGCCAATGCAAGAAATCGTGGTCGAGTATGATTATTCTAGATAACAGAAAAGAAATAACTTTTCATTTTAAAGACGATGATTGGCAAATTATGGGTGGACGTGATCATGGTGAGTTCTTAGGATGCAGTAGTGACCGTAGATATCCTATTCGGCGAGCAAATAATGGTGACCTAAATCTTGTCCATACTAATTCTATGAGGGAACCCTAAAATGGAAATCAAGATCATGCATCTAAGTGGAGACCCCACTGAAATGCATCACAATGCAAAGTTATTGCTACAGCTAAACCCGGCATTACGAACACCCTCTCAATACCGACACCCCGTTAATACCGGACACTTTCTATGACCCCCTCATTTTCTCTATCAAAGGGGGTTTGAATTTAATTGAAGAAATTCAAATTTCGGCCAAATAATTATAAATAGAATATAATGGAACTTTAGGGGTATATTCGAACTCGAGCCGAAAGGGGAACTAAGCGAGTCGTTTAAAAAAAGTAAATTTATAACATGGGGTGCTCGATGGTCCATTACGTCAGTTTGTTATCCACTTTGTTGTTGTTTTTTGTTTTTGTTTTTGTTTTTGTTTGTTTTGTTTTAATTTTTTTTTTCATGAATTTCATCTGTAAATACCACCAAATTTTGACTATATAAGGTAATAGAACAATTCAGTTCTCCAGTTTCCTTCAAAAGGCGTTCGAAAAGGTCAAGCGGAAGGGGATTTTGGGCGCGAGCGGAGAAGCACGAGAGGCGCGCGAGGAAGAAGGGAGGGGAACGCCTGCAAAGACTTTATTGCTTTGTACGTTATAAACGTCCACCTGATGAATGTTAAAATCCTGAATTGTCAGTCTATAAAAATGTCAATATGTCAATATTAACAGCATTAATACCTTACTTCGATTGGTTGAAATCAATATCACTAGTTTTGGGTAACTAAAATGATCTTTCAGTAATCATTTTACAAGGGGGGCCGGGGGGGTGGTGGTGGTTGTCACCTCCCTCTGAGGTTTTCCTGATTTGTTTCCTAGACGATAAAATATCTGTACCTGAAGTTTTCAGTAGCTGTTCGTTTATCCCTCAAGCGCATTTTCAGACAAGTTTAGTGATGGTCAGTTACAATATTTGCGAGATATGACGTCATCAGTAGGTGGTCAATCAAATCAATCAATCAATCAATCAACATTGTTTAAACGCGGTAAATGGCTCAGGAAGCTGGTTTTCAGACATGTCGTGTGATAATTACAAGTTATAAAAATTAAGACTAGTGATTAACTAGCAATAACTAGCACAAGAATTCACAATTTACAACATACAATATCACAATAGTCAAAGTAGGGCTGGACAAGTGAATAGCAAATAGTTTTAAGAGTCTCTTGATTATCGGTTAGTTTTCTATCTAAAGACAGCATTCGCAAGCCATCAGAGACTTTGGGTGAAATATGTTTGATCTAATTATCCCAGGTTAGCATTTCATCAATAGGAGCCCCCAATAACTTAGTAGAATGTTTATGTTCAATAGATCTATTATCCAACTCAGTCTAGATTCATGAACTTGGCATTTGCCAAATTTTGAACGTGCAGATAAACCGGGTTCGACTCCCGGCGACGCTGTTTTCTGTTTCTTTGTACCGTTTTTTTTTATTTTGTATTTTTTTTTTTTTTCCTGTTTGGTCTATTTTTTAAAACTATTTTTCCTTTTGGCCTTTTTTTCTTTATTCTTACTGCTGACCCTGCTGGTCATGCACTTGGATCAATATATATTTCAAGCTTAAGTCCGGCGTTTTCTTTTGGAAAAGGGATTTCAAAAGCTCTTGATCTGCATATTGGCCAAGCTTACGACCAGAAAAAAAACATAAGCTGTCAAGACATGTCCCTCCTCTGAAACAGCTGAATTTTTTTCAATATTTTTTAGCTAACATCATGACAAACAACACACAGTACACCACAAACTGTACTTATTTACACCCAACACCCACCAGTGACCAACAGGCGAAAGTTAAACCAGTGCCGTTGTACATCGTCTTAATCATCAATATTGTTACCCTAAAATCTCCACTGGGTCAGTTGCCCCAAAAAAACAATTAAACGAAACCTTTTGTTGGTTTTCGGGATTTAATTACAGAATTAAAGGTGTATGCCCAATGCAGTATTAAAATGCGGTAAAGCAACAAGATTCAATGCTCACAGTCTCTCACAATTACCTGTCATTTAACTTCCTCTTTCGACGCTACAGCTAAGCCAACTTTGAGAGGAATGATGTGGGGTTCCACTAGCTCTGAAAGTATAATACATCCTTTCATGAACCTCCTTTGCTGTGTCTAAACTCCTCAATCTATCTGTGCACTGGCCCTCAAAAGTGTGACCGGTAGGTATAATTCCCCATAATATTTGCTCGACGATAGAAAGGAATCTTTAAAATTCATTACACCACTGGATATTTCATTCCAAAAGAGTACTTAACTCTAGTTTCCTATGACAATAGAAACCTTAAAATCTCCAAATCCAAGAAATCGGAAGAGTATTTCCGTGATAAAATCGAAATGTTTATCCGCCTCCTTGATGAACACTTTGCTCGCCATTTTGAAAGTTACTGACGCGAGACGTGACGTCATACTGGCAGGTGGACTGTACCATAGATTTCCTTGGAGACACCTTCCCCCCCTAAAGAATCACTGGGTTACACTGCGCTTGGGTGTGTCACCTAAAGTGCAGCTTATGTTTTTTAGCTCTTCCTAAAGAATCACTGGATTACACTGCACCCATGGGTGTGCCACCTAAAGTACAGCCTGTGCTTGTCAGCTCTACCTAAATAATCACTGGGTTATACTGCACTCACTCTGCACTTATACTGCACTCTGCCCTTTAGATGACGCACCCTATGTTTGTCTGGATTACACTGTACTTGCGAGCGTTTGCCCCGCGCTCTCTTCAAAGAAAAAAAAGCTATAGTCCGTTTCGCCAAAAATCAAGCTTTTTGTCCTAAAATTTTGAAACCATATTGGGCCCCGAAAGACGTTAAACGTTCTTCCATAATAGAGAAGTATTTTGCTAGGGTTAATACAAAGGTGCAAAAAATTATCAGCATAATTATAGCACACAAACATTGTCATCTAACTCCTGGCACGTAGCCGGAATAAGACAAGTAAATAAAGTATATAACTAGAAATCGTCGTCAAATGGTCTCGATAAGTACATTATACTTAACTTTGCAAATCAAGTTTATCGCTTGTATCCGTGTCACGCATCGAAAAAGCCGGAGGAGTCATCGCATGACATTAGGGACGCTTTCCATTAGGAAAAAAACCCGGAAATTTCGGTGGGAGTAAAAGTGGAATTTCTGATTGGTAAAAACTTGTTCCATTTGGTCGTAAACCCTGGTACGTCGCGGCGCCCGACCGTGGACCTGGAACTGGTACAAACTACGAGAAACGTAAATGGAACACGACATTCCGTTCGGAAATTCCAACCAGGGAAACAGGCCCCCCTTTTTAGATTTTCCACTTTTTCTGGGGATTTTCCAGTGGGACGAACCGACGAAACGTGTTCCATTTACGGCCGAACCGAAAATTCCGGAAATTTTTACTAAATGGAAAGCGCCCTAGGTAACAGAGGTAATACTCACGGGTTTCACGAGTTCTATCCACGATTTTTCGCCGAGTAACAAGTTTAAAACTTTAATTCTTACCTTACAGTAGTCGGCT